ATATTTTATTCTCAGGAAGTGTGAGGTACTTGCTTTTAGGGTCCCACTTTGGTGCTTGAGTCCCATAGCCAAGTCCTCTTTTGTTGCTACTGTGATGCTCTTGCAACCAAGAGAGTGCATCAGAGGCCTTGTTCCATTTGCAAGTTCTGTCTAATTCATGTTTCACCTTTCCTAGATCTTCTTTTAGGACTTTGATTAGTTCATCCTTTTTATACAATTCATCCTTCATTTTTCCTAGGTTTTCCTCTAGAGTGAGATATGTGTGATCAGCTTTCTTCTTTCCAGTTCCTAGTTTCAATTTTAAGTTTTCAGACCTAAGTTCTAGGACACTGTTATCAAGTTCAAGAACCTGGTTCTTCAACTCAGCATTTGTGTTATCACTCTCATTAGCCCTAGACTCTAGACTTTTGCATTTTGCTTTTAGGATCACACATTCCCTAGACAGAACTTCCTTCTCATTGTTAATTATCTCAGACTCATCAATGAAGTCTAGTAATAGCTCAGCCAACCTTTCTTTAGACAAAAATTTAATCTTGTCTTTGAGATGAAGAATACTTACCTCTTGTTCATCATCTGATTCTCCGATGGCCATCAGTGCTTGCTCTTCTTCAGCTTCATCTTCTGAGTCTTCATCTGAGGTTTCTCCCCAAGCAGCAACCATAGCCTTGGTTGAACCTTTGTTCCTTTTTGGTTGAACCTGTTCCTTTTTCCTGTTCCTTCGTTCAGCACTTTCTTTCTTCCACTCAATTTCCCATTGAGGACAGTTCTTGATCATGTGATCAGTCTTACCACACTTGTAGCATCCCTCATTGGTCTGTTTCTCAGGAGCTCTTGTCTTGTTGAAGGTTGTACCTCTTGAAGAACCCTTTCCTCTCATCAGGTACTTTTTGAAATCTCTAGTGATCATAGCCATCTCATCATCTTCCAGATCTGAACCTTCAGCAATTCTGAGAGCTAAGCTTCTCTCCTTCTTGGGTGTATCCATCTTCATGGTTTGCCTTCTCATTTCATAAGCAGTAAGATTTCCAATCAGTTCATCCAGTCTGAGAGTAGCAATATTCTTGGATTCCTGAATGGTAGTTATTTTGCTTTCCCATGCGACTGGCAGAACCCTTGTCAGAATTTTCTCAACCTTGTCTTCTTCAAGAATAATCCTTCCAAGAGATTTAAGTTCATTTGTCAGTGTAGTGAACCTAGTATACATTTCTTGAATTGTTTCTCCTTCCTTCATAGTAAAGTTCTCATATTGAGAATACAGCAGTGTTCCTCTGGACCTCTTTACTTGAGGTGTTCCTTCATGAGCCACTTGCAAGGTGTCCCAGATTTCCTTAGCAGTGGTACAGCTTTGAATTCTGCTGTACTCATCAGGACCTAGTCCACACACAAGCCATTTCTTGGCTTTAGCATTTTTCTCCCACTTCCTCAGGTCTTCAGCAGTGCAGTCAACCCTTGTCTTTGGCATATCAACTCCTTCAACATTCTTCTTTGTGGTTGCTAGGGGACCATCAGTGACTATGTCCCAGAGTTCATAGTCTTCCCCTATGATATGATCTCTCATCCTGTTCTTCTACTAAGAATAGTACTGACCATTGAAAAGTGGAGGCCTAGCAGTGGATTGCCCTTCCCAGTTTCCAGGTGGTGCACTCATGTTGATCTTCTCCTAAGGTGTTATCCTCTTCAAGGATAACCTGGCTCTGATACCAATTAATGTTCTTAACGTCAATACCACACAAGAGGGGGGGGGGTGTGATTTGTGTGGTACCCAATTTTCGCTCTAGAAGAACCTGGTTCTTCTATGTGTACTTACTACTACTGTTTGCGGAATTAAGAGTACATAAAATAAAGAACACAGAGATTTTTACGTGGAAAACACCTGGCTCAAAAGGTGAAAAAACCACGACCTACTGCTCAGTAGGATTTTCCCAAACTTCCACTAAAATCACTGAGCCAAAACAGCATTTACAAAACTCTTGTAAACCTAAGGATTAAACTCTAATCCCAGTCTAGCACACAGCCTCAACTGTTGCGACACCTTCAAGTTAACTCTAACTTGAATACTCAAAGTGCCTAATACAATTGTTTCTATGAAAGCTGGAACGGTACAACTTTAAAACACCTACTACAATTGAACTAAAATAAAAGAAAGACACAATGGAATTGGTTCTTCTATCTTATCCAAGTAGCTTCAGGAATGCACACTTGAATCTCACATAAATTGCTTGCAAAATTGCCTTGCTCTTTTGCTCTCAATTTAGTTTAACTTCTGCGTTTGTGCAATACCTGTAAAAGAGAACAATCACTGTTATTTAATGAGTTAGTAATCAGAGTTTGACTAAGACTCAATTGCTGATCTTCCATCGCAGTTGAGTCCTTGAACAATACAAACTCCAACCCTGTCCTTTATCCGGATTGTGTCCTCTTCCCATGAGAAGACTTTCTCTCCTCATCCAATATGCAACTTTTTCGATTAGTTCAGGAGATATTGCTGCTTGATCACTGAGACTTATCTCCTTCACGTGTATCTCACATGTCTAGGTTGATAAATATTGTGCCTCACATGATGGACCTGGTCCATGACTGAGTACATTTGTCATTCTTCAAAACTTCACCTGAACTTGGGCCAACAAATTCCCAACAGCAACACTTGTATGCATCAGACCAACAATATATGATAAGTCCCCCCCTCACAATTGGTTTAGGATCAGAAACCAAATATTTTACTATCTTTTGATGTGTGGTATATGACTAATTTCTCTACCACAATGCACAAAGATATATTTCCTAAAGAAGATTGGGGATATGTTAGTTTTTCTAACATTTGGGGAATGGAATAAACAGCTGAAAAATATGCTATATGAATCGAATTATCATTAATATGATCCTCACTTAGAAGATAATTCAAGTCAAATGCCAGAAGCATTTGCTGATCCAAAATCAAATATCATATTTCAGCTGCAAATGCTCCTATTAAAATGTAAAGTCCCTGAAGGACATATAGAGTTTACTGTACGCATGAAGCGTGGTAGACCAATCGGTTCCAAAGGTAACAATCCTTGAAAAATGATTAGGAGCTAATGATCAAAATGATCATAATGAGGAGGAAATGAGCTCTAGAAGAGCCCACGACATAACATTTCATGAAACTCCAGAAGAAGTTGAGGTACCTGAAAATAAAGAAAGTGATGAGATCTCAACAAGTTATGTCTCTTAGGAACCGATGCAAAATGATCGCCAACGATATATTTGATACAATATAGTGCACAATACTGTGAAATATTGTGAGAATCGGACCAGTAGTCCAGACACCTGAAGATGTCATGCCATTTAAATGCGAGTCATAACCTATATGACTCATTTGATTAAATCTCTATAAAGATCCCTGAAGGATTTAAAATGCCTGAAGCATGTAGTTCAAAGTCTCGAGAAATGTACTCGATCAGATTATAAATATCTTTGTACGGTTTAAATCAATCTGGGCGCATGTGATATAATCGCCTCAGTGAATATTTGCTGAAAGAAAGTTACATAAATGATGTTATTTGTCCATGTATTTTTATAAAGAAAATATCATCAGAATTTGTTACACTTGCTGTTTACGTTGATGACATAAATTTTGTTGGAACTCTAGAAGAGCTCCAAAGGCAATTGAATATCTTAGAAAGAATTTGAGATGAAAAATCTTGGAAAAATAAAAATTTATCTTGGTCTACAAATTAAATATTTAGCAGACGAGATCTTTATCCATCAATTTGCCTATACAGAAAGGGTCTTTAAACGCTTTTACATGGACAGAGCGCACCCATTAAGTACACCAATGGGTGTTCGATCACTTGAAGTGAATAAGGATCCGTTCCGACCTCCAGAAGAGGGTGAGGAACTCCTTGGTCCTGAAATACTCTATCTCAGTGCAATTGCTAACACTTATGTATCTTGCTAATGCTAACAAAGGTGGTGCAGATCGTATTGGTTATGCAGATACAAGATTAGAATGCAGAGACTCAAATATTTGAAACAAGGTTTTCATCAGGGGGAGTAAAATACGCAATGCACTTTTTTTTCCTTACTAAGGTTTTTTCCCACAGGGTTTTCCTTATAAGGTTTTTAATGAGGCACCTAGCAATGCATATTACTAAATATGTGTACTCTTTTTCCTTCACTAGAACTTTTTTCCAGGGGGTTTTTCCTAGTAAGGTTTTAATGAGGCACACTATCTTTTAATGAACATCCAAGGGGGAGTGTTATAAATATATTATATTATGGATGTTCATTTAGTACTCCGTTGTAAATAAGCTTCCTGAAGAAGCTTATCCATATGGGACTCCGCCGTAAATATGTTTATCTATTTAGTACTCTATTGGAAATAAGCCTCCTGAAGAAGCTTATCACTTCGATACCCGGTTATGGATAAACATTACCCCCGGTAGAAGATTATCCATACCGGGTATAATAAGCTTATCCTTTCGATACTCCGTTATGGATAAACATTATCCCCGGTAGAAGATTGTCCATACCGGGTACAATGAGCTTATCCTTTCAGTACTCCATTATGGATAAACATTACCCCTATTAGAAGATTATCCATACAGGATACAATGAGCTTATCCTTTCAGTACTCCGTTATGGATAAACATTAACCCCAGTAGAAGATTATCTATACCTGGCATAATGAGCTTATCCTTTCAGTACTCCATTATGGATAAACATTACTCTCAGTAGAAGATTATCCATATCTGGTATGTAGCAGCTTACACAGCAGCTTGCAGTAACAACTTAGACATCAGCTTCCTTTATTTTATAAATAGAAGAGATTTCAATTCATTATGGACATTAGTTTGGAATTCGAATAATATATCAATTTGTCTCTATACTTGTCTTTACTTTACGGTCTTTATTTTATAACAGAAAACAAAAATTGTTTAAAGAAAAAAGAAGAAATGCGTAACTATTGAATAAAAAAAAGTATATGAAAAACGGGAAAAAAAGAAAGAAGAAAAAGAGGAAAAAAATAAAATACGAAAGTCAGCCCTACTGTGTTCAGCTTCAGCAGCCACTGCGTTTCTCAGCTCCATTTTCATTCTCCATCTTCAGCTCCAATGAATCTCAACACTTAAAATATTTTTCTTTCTTTGTGCATGGAGTCGTCACAGCCGTCGTCCGATTTCACAATACAATGATTCAATCAACGGCGTTGATTACTACATTCCGTTCAGTTAACTCAATTCCTCTCTTCTTTATTAAATTCTTCCCATTTTCCATTTCATCTTCAACCTCAGCAGAGTCTCCAGAACCTTCCATTAATCACCAACTCTTCTCCCTCCTTTCACATCCGAATTGGCAAAAACACCCTTCCCTCAAAACTCTAATTCCTTCCCTATCCCCTTCTTCCCTTTCTTCTTTCCTCTCACAAAACCCAAATCTAAATCCCCAAATTGCCCTCTCCTTTTTTAATTATCTCTCTTGTGTCCCTTCCTTCAAACTCAATGTTCAATCCTACGCGCCCCTTTTACGCATTTTAATTTCCAATAATCTCTTTCGGGTCGCCCAAAAAACCCGACTTAACATGCTTAAATCTTGCGAAACGCGTGACGACGCCGTTTTTACGATGCGTTTGTTGCTTGATATGAACAAATATGATGAGTTTAAGCTCAATGTGTGGGCTTATAACACGTTGTTAATGTGTTTATCGCGATTCGTTATGATTGAGGAAATGAAATGTGTGTTTGATGAAATGTTGAGTGATTTAATTAAGCCTGATATTTATACTTTTAATACTATGATTAATGCTTATTGTAAATTAGGTAATGTTGTTGAGGCTGATTTTTATTTGAGTAAGATTTTGCAAGCTGATTTGAGTCCCGATACACATACGTACACGTCGTTTATATTGGGGCATTGTAGGAGAAAGGATGTAGATAGTGCTTACAAGGTGTTTGAAGAAATGCCTAAGAAGGGTTGTCGAAGGAATGTGGTTTCGTACAATAATTTGATTCACGGGTTGTGTGAAGCGGGGAGGATGGATGAGGCGATGAGGTTGTTTGTGGAAATGGGAGACGAGGATGCTTGTTGTCCGAATGTGAGGACCTACACGATTCTCATTGATGCGTTGTGTGGATTGGATAGGAGGGTGCAAGCGTTGCAATTGTTTGATGAGATGAAGGAGAAAGGATGCAAGCCGAATGTTCATACTTGCACTGTTCTTGTTGATGGCTTGTGTAAAGACTTTAAGCTTGACGAAGCGAGAGTGTTAGTGAATGTGATGTCGGAAAATGGACTAGTTCCAAATGTGGTGACATACAATGCATTGATTGATGGATACTGTAAGAAAGGTTTGGTTGATGTTGCATTAGATGTTTTTGACACAATGGAATCGAATAATTGTATCCCGAATGTCCGTACGTACAATGAATTGATTTCTGGCTTTTGTAGGATAAAGAAGGTGCATAAGGCAATGTCACTACTTGATAAGATGCTCGAACGCAAACTGTCTCCTACTGATGTCACTTTTAACTTGTTAGTTCATGGACAGTGTAAAGAGGGCGAAATAGCTAGTGCATTTAGGTTGCTTAGATTGATGGAAGAGAATGGTTTGGCTCCTGATGAGTGGACTTATGGTACTCTAGTTGATGGCTTGTGTGAAAGAGGCAGAGTTGAAGAAGCTCACACCATTTTTAGCTCTCTGAAAGAGAAGGGTATAAAGGTTAATGTTGCGATCTACACTGCTCTAATTGATGGATTTTGCAAAGCTGAAAGAGTTGATTTTGCCTTGACATTGTTTAAGGAAATGATCGAGGAAGGTTGCTCCCCAAATGCATGCACTTATAATGTGCTGATTAATGGGTTGTGTAAACAGGGTAATCAGCTGGAAGCAGCCCAATTACTTCAAAGGATGCTTGAAAGCGGTGTTAAACCCACAATTGAATCCTATAGTATCCTGATTGAGCAACTACTGAAAGAATCTGCCTTTAACCATGCTTACAAGGTTTTTTATTTAATGGATTCCATGGGACACAAGCCTGATGTCTGCATTTACACTTCGTTTCTGGTTGCATATTACAATGAAGAGAAATTGAAAGAAGCAGAGGATGTGATGGCTAAGATGGCAGAGGAGGGAGTTAGGCCAGATTTGATGGCCTATACAGTAATGATTGATGGCTATGGTCGTGCAGGATTATTGAATCGAGCCTTTGATGTGTTAAAACGTATGTTTCGTGCTGGACATGAACCTTCTCATTACACCTATTCCATTTTGATCAAACATTTGTCCCAAGGGGGACTTTATCTCAAAACAGAGGCCAGTTCCATTAATATTGCTGACGTGTGGAAAGCGGTGAAATTCGAAACTTTGCTTGAACTCTTTGATAAAATGGGGGAATATGGCTGTCCTCCTAATACAAACACTTTTAGTTCTCTTGCTACTGGCCTCTGTAGAGAAGGACGCATTGAGGAAGCGTCGAGGTTACTTGATCACATGCAGAGCTGCGAAATATCTCCTAGTGAAGATATATACACCTCAATGGTAAATTGTTGTTGCAAGTTGAAATTGTTTGAGGATGCAGCAAGATATCTTGAAACTATGCTTACACAAGGTTTTTTACCATGCTTAGAGTCATGCAAGCTCCTCGTGTGTGGGTTGTATGATGACGGAAACAATGAGAAAGCTAAGGCGACCTTCTTCCGGCTTCTTGATTGTGGGTACAATAATGATGAAGTAGCTTGGAAGCTTCTAATTGATGGCTTACTTAAGAGGGGTTTTGTAGATAGATGTTCGGAGTTGTTGGATATTATGGAGAAAAATCGTCTTCAGCTTAGTACCCAGACATATTCATTGCTGCTAGAGGGAATTGATAGAACAGACAACAAATAAAGTATGAAGTTCGTACTTCTGTGATTCTGCTGCATATGTTTGTGCAGTCAAGGATGTCCACAACTAGATCTTCATTGACAATGGAGATCTTCATGTGCACCTTGATACCCTGTTGCTCGAATAAAGATCTCTCGTCCCATGCCTGTAGGCTATTCTGTTTAAGAGGAATTTGCCTGCTGAGAGATCACTCGGAATCATCACTTGGTACATGCAGCTCCTTCTTACAAGTTTCAGGCAAGTTACTTTGCTTTCTTAACTTTTTCTTGCATTCTTCCATCTATTATTCATCTTTCTCATGCTCTTGATGCGTTTTCAAGTAGAAGGCAGATAAATGGTGAGAAGATATGATCTCACTTTCTGATGCTAATATATGTTTAATTGGATTCCCTTACCAAATGTTGTGAAATTATTTATGTTTTTGTTATTTTGTTTAATGGAGCTCTTGTTAGTCCTTGAATTAATGAAATTTGGTGCTTAGTTTATCAGTTGAAGTTCATCTCAAATTTATGGAATCATCTGAATTTGATTCTTTTTAAACAAATTCATGTTGATGAGCACTAATAATGAAATTAGGGAAGTATAATACATTAACAAAAAGCTTATGCTAAGTTTTAATTCCCTGTTTTAGGAGTATAACTAACTGGTCTCAGAGCTTTTACAAACTTGCTGAAGATTAAGTTGCTAATCTTAAGCTGCAAATCAGTTTTAGCTATGCAGTAAACAAAAGGTGACTAGATGACTTGAGCAGCAAAAAAATTTACTGGAAGCCTTAATCAAGAATCTAGTAGAAGCATCGGGATGCATTTTGTGATGCCCAGGATTATAAAGGACCTCTGTATATACTGGCCGGGAAGAAAATTTAACAGGAATAGAAGATTTCAACCACTATGTCAGTCAATGCTTTGTTAGTCTTGTGGAAAGAGAGAAATCAAACATGTTTTAAAGGAAAGCTGAATCTGTACATAATCTGAAATATAACTGTCTGAACCAACTAGCAATGTGGTACAACCTTAGGAATGTTAGTAAAGTAGATAACTGGCCTAACAACCTACAGGAATAGCTAAGGACTGATTCAGTCATCATTTTCTACTTACACAGTGTTATCTTAGTGCTGCTTTTGCTATTCATAAGACTTTTGCCTACTTGAGAAAAAAAACTTGCTTTCTGAAGCTTCTTCACCAAGTTATATTATTTTATCTTTCAGGCAGAGATTTCTACAATCCAATGGCCTATTAGCAATGTAGCTAAATGCCCCATAAAAAACCGATAAGGTGAATGTGCAACTCACTGCTTCACCTTTGTTTGCATAAAATGGAAATGCTCTCCCGCAACAAAACATGCTGGAGTAGAAAGACAAGGTAATACTAAGTTTTTAAAATGTTCAATACATGTCTTCCCAGTATCAGATTAAGTGTATAGATACAAAAAGTAGTATGTTAGAAGATGTCAAATTTCCTAGCTTGATGGTTCTTAAAATTTGAAACTGTTCTGTCTCTGAAAAAATTTAAGGAGTTTACATTCTTTAATTCTCACTTTGAATATACAGGACTATCAAACTGCTAAATTAGTTCATTTAAATGAACTCGTGGATATTGCAGAAGATTGAGGACAAAAACGATTAGACGTCTTGTTTATGAAGCTCAAGGTTATCTATGCATTTTTGAGTTCTCTCTCTGAATTTGATGTGCATTTGTATTTTGCCGGGGGGCTGGAGGTCGGCCACAAAGTAATTGCTATGCCAGCTTTAGAGGATTGTTACTGCATAAATGTACAGAATATGGTAACATTTTCTTCCCCAGCTGTTGATTCTATACTAAACATGTAGGCAAAACTGTAATGCACTTAACCACGCTGTATTTCATCTGCATGTCTACAACTTAAAACTTTTTTGCTTGCAGAATTGTTTCATATCGTCCGCATACTGGGAGAGCACATTTCAGCTGTACAGTGTCTCCAAACACTCTGTCACAGAAGTACAATTGAGATTCTAAGGTGAATTACATTACTGTTTGTTATACCAGGATGATTAAGACACTTTGATTCCCATCATTTCCTGGAATGCTTAGTTATTGTTGTAATATTGAAACCAACTTGGAAGAAACTATAGAGAAAATAACTCTCTCACCAATCCATTTATATTATAGAAGAGATGCAAAATTCTTCGATTCTTGCACAATCCCTCTTCGCATCCCCCCCAAACCCCCCGATTCCTATCGGATAGTTGTCATTGGATTCTTGATTTGTCAGCTAAGTCAAAGATACAAATTTGCTCACCTGTTGTAATGATTTCAGGTTTTGCTGAATGTATCGCGACATAAGAGTACCATGTAGATGAGAAAGTTGTGTAAAGAATTATTTGGCAAAAAGCTAGAAGAATAGTTGAAGAAGTGGTGACATGAAAGCTGTGCTTGATGCTCTCTTTCCACTGCACTAAGTGATCTTTTCCTTTCTTGAGTGACTACTATGGAAAAAGATGACGACGACTATGTGCAAGTCTCTTGATCAATTTTTTCAAAATCGTTACAATACATCGATTGTGTTTATACGTTTTCAGATCGGTTGGTCAGGAAATTTATGATTATGGCATTAAGGAAGTGCACCATATGTGTATACGGTAAAATCATGTGCCCCGATTTTGTGGGCCCGAAGGCTCACAACGAGGAACAAAAGGTTCGCGTCGAGGAATAGACTCACTACGGACCGAGTTCGAGCCCGAAGGCGGAGCACGAGTCTCGAAGATTTAAGCGTTCGAGGAACGTTGGAGCCTAGTGTAATCAACCCTGAGATAATGCTGTTATGAGTTTGTAACAAAATGAGCAAGATTCCTGCCACGTCCCCAAGATCATGGCGTAAGTTTCGGAATAGATTTGTACAAATCCGTACTAGGCGGTTAGACAGTTGTCCCAATAAGATTCATTACTGTAAATAGAAATGTACTTTATTTAGGGTTCCCCTATTATATAAAGGGGACCCCAATCATTTTGTAACCATCATCAATTTGGCAAAAGAATATACTTACTTTCTTGCTCTTTGCTCACGAGAATTGTCCTTTAACTGTATTGTTCTTGATCTACCTCGAGGCCACCTTAGCTCGGAGTCGAGGCTGGCTTGCACATTGGTTTGATTTTACTTATTTCTTTCATTTACACGTTAGATTTCTTGGTTATTAATTAATATTGAACTAAATCACATATCTTTAAAATCATAAATCAAGTTTAATTGATACTCGTATTTTCGAGGTAAATAGTTTGGCGCCCACCGTGGGGCTAAAGATGATAGTGATTATTTAAGTACTAATTTTGAAAACACACATTATTTTTACATTTGTTCTTGTCAAGAATTTTTGTTCTCAGGTTAAAACATGTCAAACTCGCAAAACGCACCCGTACACGGAGATGGGAGTCTTGGATTTCATGGGAAAAACAACAATGTAGGGGTTGGTGTACCACCGATGAACCCGAGGGGAAGTGCCAAATGTGGAACCAGTCGATGTTAGTTCGCACATTGCTTTGAATGCGGATTTAGGTGCAGACCCCGGGGGAAGTGTACGCAGGGAAGCCCGATCTGGGGGCCAAGGAACACAGGGTATAAGAGATGGGGGAGTCAGCCTCCAAGTAATATTCGAGATGCTACAAGCTCAACAGGTTGCTATCGCTCAGCTTCAAAGTCAACACAAAACTCCAAGTATAGTCGAACCAGAAAACACTCGACGTACTGAGCCGATACCGGAAAGATCAAACGGTAATGGCTCGGGGACTAATCCCACAATTATAAGGTTGCTCGAGGAACTCACCAAGAGAATCGAGTCCAGGGAGAAGAAGATTGAGGATAATGACAAAAAAGTGGAGACTTATAACTCCCGTGTTGATCGAAATACGGGGGGGGGGGGGTGGGGGGGGGTACGGGGCCGACCCGGTGTAGGAAAGGTCTGGATGCCAAAAGTTCATACAAAGACATTCCCTCCGAGTGCGGTTCCGAAGCCCATTCTTAAAAAGTTTCGCATGCCCGATATACCTAAATACAATGGGACAACCGATCCTAATGAATATATTACCTCATACACTTGTGGGATTAAAGGAAATGACTTGAAGAATGATGAGATCGAATCAGTATTTTTAAAAAAATTTGGGAAAACTTTGTCAAAGGGAGCCATGATTTGGTATCACAATTTGCCCCCCGAACTCTATCGATTCGTTTGCTATGTTAGCAGACACCTTCGTGAAAGCACATGTTGGGGCCATAACGGCGTCGACAAGGAAATCTGACGTTTTTAAGATAAGACAAAGGAACAATGAGATGCTAAGGGAGTTCTTATCCCGATTTCAAATGGAGCGAATGGAATTACCACCGGTCTCGGATGATGGGGCAGTACAAGCTTTTATGTAGGGTTTGAACGAGCGGAGTTTGATCGCGTCACGACAATTGAAGTAAAATCTGATCGAGTACCCAGCTGTAACTTGGTCAGACGTACATAATCATTTCAAATCGAAGATCAGGGTCGAGGACGACCAGTTAGGAGCCCCCTCGGGTTCAGTTCATCCTAATAGTTTGGCAGTTAAGGCCCCGAGGGATACGGACAGGGAACCAAGATCAGACAAGGAACGGTATCAGCCATATGTCGATCGGAGAAACAACGGTTCGAGGCGTAACACTCCTCGGAACAATCGAAGAAATGATCGAGGTTAAAGCTCTCGGGGACTTATGAGTAAGAATGGTTTTGATAAACATACCGACCCCGCGGAAGCACCTCGGTTGTCGGGTATAATTTTAGGTGGCCCAAGCCTATACAAACCGATCCTTCTCAAATGAATCCAAACTTGATGGGTAAGTATCATGGCATACATGGCCATAGGACCGAAGACTGCAGGCAGCTGAGGGAGGAGGTAGCTCGATTGTTCAACGAGGGTCATCTTCGAGAATTTCTTAGTAATTGATCTAAGAACCACTTCAGGGAAAGAGATGCAAACAGAAAAAATGAGCAGGAAGAACCGCAACACGTAATTCATATGATCGTTGGCGGTGTCGATGTTTCACAAGGGCCTATATTCAAACGCACCAAGGTGTCAATCACCAGAGAAAAACATACTCGGAGCTACGTGCCCGAGGGCGTACTATCATTCAATGACGAGGAAGCGGAAGGCATATCTCAGCCGCATAATGACGCCCTGGTAATTTCTATTTTGTTATATAAAGTTCAAGTTAAACGTCGATTCGTGTATATATTTTATAGAAACATGAAATCAAAGTAGGCGATAAAGTAGCTAGAAGACACGGAAATAATGGTATCATTTCCAAAATTTTGCCTAGACAAGATATGCCTTATTTACAAGATGGAAGATCCGTTGATACGGTCTTTAACCCATTAGGAGTACCTTCACGAATGAATGTAGGACAGATATTTGAATGTTCACTAGGGTTAGTAGGGAGTCTGCTAGACAGACATTATCGAATAACACATTTTGATGAGAGCTATGAACAAAAAGCTTCGAGAAAACTTGTGTTTTCTGAATTATATGAAGCCAATAAGCATCCAGTAAGCAAACTCGTGTTCTAGTGGATCCAGGTAGCTTAGCAAACATAATCAGATCGAGGGTCGTAGAGCATCTCGACCTACATGACCAAATTGTACTTTCATATCGAGTCCTAAATAACTTCAACATGGCAAGCGAAACAACGAAGGGGGAGATAATCCTACCAGTGAACGTGGCCGGGACCATCCAAGATACAAAATTCCATGTCATCGAAGGCGACATGAGATATAATGCACTTCTCGGGAGGCCACAGATCCACAACATGAGGGCAGTACCTTCAACCCTTCATCAGATGATGAAATTCCTAACAGTGGATGGTGTGAAAACGATTTACAGAGAACAACACACTGCAAAGGAAATGTTTGCAGTGGAGGAGGTGATACCGGTACCAGCGCCTTCGACCTCGAAAAAGTCAAGCACCAAAGATACGCAGACGGCCAAATAGCAATCACCGTCCCCAGCCTCGACCGAATCAGAGCAGCAGGTAATCGAAGAAGAAGAGGATCTCCTTACTCCTCGAACTTTTGTTGTTCCCGAAGAGTCCGATGCAACCAAGTCGACGGTCGAGGAACTGGAACAGGTCATACTGATAGAATACATGCCCGAGAGAAAGTTATACCTGGGAATGGGGTTAACCCCTGAACTCAGGAAAAAACTCATTCAATTTCTTATTGATAATATGGATTGTTTTGCTTGGTCCAGTTTAGACATGACAGGGATCCCACCGGAAATAACAACACACCGGCTAAGCCTCGACCCCAGGTTCAAACTGGTAAAGCAGAAAAGGAGGACCCAGTCAGAGGTAAAGCATACATTCATAAAGGATGAGGTAACTAAACTTCTTAAAATATGGTCTATTCGGGTGGTAAAATACCCCGAATGGTTAGCCAACGTGGTTGTAGTCCCTAAAAAGGGAAACAAACTTAGAATGTGCATAGATTATAAGAATTTGAACAAGGCATGCCCTAAAGACTCTTTTCCCCTGTCTAACATCGATCGCATGATCGATGCCACGGCCGACCACGAGATCCTAACCTTTCTCGACGCCTACTCCGGGTACAATCAAATTCAGATGAACCCGGAGGACTAGGAAAAGACCTCATTTATCACTAAGTTTGGAACATACTGCTACAATGTAATGCCCTTCGAGCTAATGTCACGACCCAAAATCCCTCCAAAGGAGTCGTGATGACACCTAGTCTCTAAACTAGGTAAGCCTAACATTAATTGAAATAACATTGACATTTACTGGCTTCAAATTAAATAACTCTGAACAAAACACAATTTTCCAAAACCGGTGGTACAAGTCATAAGCCTTTCTAAGAGTAGTTATACAAGAATAAATACAACGTTGTTCCAGAACGAGAAGGAACCAATGGAATGTAAATACAAACGAAGGTGACTCCGAGGCCTGCGAACGCAGCAGCAGGTTACCTTGAGTCTCCACCGCAATGACCCGCACAGTTACTACCGATCAAATATCTGGATCTGTACACAAAAATGTACAGAAATATAGTATGAGCACACCACAGCGGTGCCAAGTAAGTATCAAGACTAACCTCGGTGGGGTAGTGACGAGGAACAGTTAAGACAACTACTGGTCAAACAGATAAAACAGGATATGATAACAAATATCAAGATAGAGGTAACGAAGTAATATCAACAGTAGGGAAGGAACAAACTACAATCATTAGAAACAATAAAGGAAAACACGGATGGAAACGAAAGATAACCAAGTAAATTAGCACCAACATAGCCGGAACACAGACAAGTAAAAATGAACTCAAATAAGGAAGGCGATGTCAGCTCAATAAATCATATCATTTCTGATGCACAATTCCAGCCATCTCAAACTCGATGTCTCATATCATAACCTCAATTACCAAACCTTTAGCACACCCGGCACTTTGTGCCCACATATTTCTATCTCACTTTGCACAACAACGTTCTCATGTTACTCAGTACATAGGGTCCATAACCAATGCAATTAAGATGTCCAAGGAGTCTCATTTACATAACATAAAGTAGAGTACAACTTCTAAACCAATTAGGAACTCAGCAAGAAAAGATGAAGTTATTTTTAGAAATCATTTGAATAAAGAAAGTACCATTTTCAATTAAAATACAACATCGAATGAATTATTACCTTTAACATCGGATTTAATAAATTAACTTTGTAGAAATTCCCTTTTAAGTAAAATACAACCTCAGAAGGTTTAAGGGAATGTAATTGAGTAACTAATTGAATTAAAATGAAACAATTATTGAAATTTGAAGTATTGAAATATATATATAAATACGGCGAAGTATTGAAAACACTATGGGGTTCCATCACAAAGGATCACAGCAGTAA